ATTTCACACTTTCTGCCGGATGTGAACATTTCGACCTATTTTTGTTACATATCTGCCCCACTATAGCCCTAAGCCTACTACCCAATATTTCACCCCAACCATGCCTCTGCTGCGAAGTGAGATGCAACGCGTGTGGGATAAGACACCACCGAGCTGCGTGTTCAAAACAATCCGGAAAGAAATCCGAACAGGAGCTACAGCTGTTCTGACATGCATACGGCTGTTTTCACGGCAAGGCTATGCGAAAGCACACCACAGCAGGGTAGCAGAACCAGGCGAGTGCCATCCCCGTGTTCCTATAATTAGCCCATCCAGGCTTAGAAGAATTTCGATTTTCGTCCTCGTTTTCCAAAACACTTTCATTGCAAAATTTGCAGCTGAAAATTTAGGTAACAGCGCACACATACGCATATATACGTACATAATCATTGCTAGTACTTAATTTTACCTGAACCAGAAATGTGATGTGCTAATTTTCATACTCCAAGTTCACATGCTTATTCCTGTAATGGTGAATTATCCATGTCATATGATGCAATATGACTTGCTTGCAAATATCCACAATATTAGTGGTAATTATGCGGATTGATTCTAGCCCAGCTCTTGTCACTTATTAAAAACCAACCTATTATAAATATTAAATAACACTATTAACAAGTGCCGCAGTGCGACAGGGCTCATCTGGTGTCTGGTGTTCTGCTGATAAATTTATTTGTGCATAGCAAGACGTCTTATCATTAAGTCTTCTTTATTCTTGTTTGACTTTCATAGACAATTGGAACAAATATATCAACTACACTTTCGCACCCACCTAATCTCTATGCATTGCAGACACATGTGCATTGCAGGTTGGCAGACAACAATTATGATTAGAAGCGTGCCAGCCATGGGCTGCCCCGTGTTTTTGCCTACCCACACGAGCATTCACTGATTCAACCTTCAGGGTTCTATAGACAGACTGCTTTAGAAAATAATATGATTTAAGGAGCGTAAACCTTGTTCAACAAACATTTGCCTTTGCAATTAAACTGTGCAACTGTAGCCTCACATTCACACAGGTATGGGCTCTAATAATAGCAAAAGCAGTTCAGTCCTTTGTTAACAGTCAACAAATCCATGTTTAACCCTCCTCTTAAGGTTATCAGACACTTACTCTTCGCACGTCAGCGGAAAGTTCATTTCATGGTCCTTTCAATAAAGTGATAAAAATGGTAGGTCAGCGCTGAAACAAAAAAGTTTTGCACTTGGTCCGTTTGACCATGTCCTCAGAAAATATCTGATATCTGACCTTTCCCCCACTGCTCTTTGACCTGTGACCTCCATTTGCGCACTGTTGATGGGTTTCCTCCCCATCACACTATACATCGAATATTACGAGCGTAGGTCGAGCCGTTGAGATTTGTGCCGCAATTCCGTATTTCTTAAATTGTGAAATTACAGCTCTAACCTGTGGCTGTGCTGTCTCCTGTTACTTTCACTTTCTCAGCGTCTGAACGATGTTCACAATCTTTCGCCCAGTGGAATATCGACCGACAAATAGCACACTGTAAATGTCGCCTAAATCGATCAAAAGGGTTCGTGCCAGTCGGTGTTAAATTTGTACTGTCTAATAGTTTGAACGTCAAAACCGCATCTGGTAATACCATTTCGTACTTCTTGCACAGGTTGTATCTCCGTTCGAAATCCACAATGTAGTCTGCCATGTTTGTTCCAGGGCTCATTTTGTAGTTTTCAAAGTCTGTGTAAGCGGCGTACGAAAGATCGACTTTGTCACGGCAAACAATCCCTCATCCTTGTTTAGATCTGCAACCTTAATTTCCAAAGCCTTGGCCCGTGCTTGGCCTTGTAAACATAATGTCACAGCAAGCGCCTGGCGCTTTTTTCCAAGTCCGTGACGAGGCGCCAAACCTCGATTTCATTCTTCCACGTTTCATAGTCGTCGCCTGTCCCAAAAGCGGGTGGATTTTTATAGCCTGTAGCCATAATGAATCACACAGTAGTACAAACTAGCCTCTGCTACCAATGTTGGATCGATAATACTACAAACTCACTCAAACAGTACAGACTTTGTTTACTTCAAACAGCACATCACAGCACCCCAACAACAAGCCCCCTCACGCACATGCGCGAGCTGGGCATCCGCTTCCGGTCCAGACATTATAATGATTGAATGAACATTATATACCTTCCTCTCCATCTCGCCCTGCTGATCTTGCATTGTCGCCATCCAAACAGCTTCGTTGTTCTCGCCGTGTTCCGAGATCGCGACGCCGTTCTCTCGCGCGTTGTTCCCGGCGCTCGGCGAATGGCGGCCGAGCTCGTCCCGCGTCCGCCCGAGCTCCATCTTCAGTTGCTTAGCAACGGCTCTCTGCTGCGAGACCTGCAGACGGTCAACATCGACTCTTAGAACCGCGGGTAACATTGTCGTTTGTACTAGCGCTGGTGAAATCTTCGTATTTCACGAAATAAATGCTAACTCTACCAACATTGGCGTTTGTACTCCTGCAAGGGAAATCTTCGTATCTCACGAAATAGTTGTCAGTTTCATCACCGTCGGTATTTGTACTCCTGCTGGAGGAAGTCTTTGAATCTCACGAAACAGAAGCTAACTTCACCAACACTGACGTTTGTACTAGCGTGAGGGAAATATCTGCACCTCGCAAAATATATTCTAGTTCACCATCAATTAGTATTTGTACTCCTGTGGAGGAAGTCCATGTACTTCACGAAATAGATGTCAGTTTCACCAACATTAGTGTTTATACTTCGGCAGGGGAAGCATCCCCATCTCGCTAAATAGATGCCAGTCCACCAGCTGTCGCGATGAATGAGTTACTCGTACACAGTGCGAAAGGGTAACGGACACAACAACACTAGAACGCACTTCCCGCGTGTGCACGTACACGCTGCTAGACTACGCCGCTACGAGCACGTAAGCCTATACCGAGCAGCACGTGAATCTCTAACAAGAAATGCTGCCTGCCACGTCGACAGCTTGCCAGACGACTGGTCGACGTGGGAGTTATCCCACTGCAAGCACACTCATCTCATCTCTCGCAGTTCAGCAGACTTTTACCCGACGACGAACACGTGAGCTGCATGCTATAACCATCTCAAGCTACACTGCTGCTACTGCTGCTGCTGCTGCTGCTGCTGCTACTACTACTGCTGATGGTGCTGCTGCTGCTGCTGCTGCTGCTGGTGGTGGTGGTGGTGCTGCTGCTCACACTACACTACTGCTGCTACTGCTGCTGCTGCTGCTGGTGCTGCTGCTCACACTACACTACTGCTGCTACTGCTGCTGCTGCTGCTGGTGGCGTGTGGTGCTGCTGCGCTGTGCTGCTCTGCTGGTGTGGTGGTTGGTGTCGCAGTACGCTACTGGACCGGTAAGTTTCGCGAATCAGAGATCGTCTGGTTGGGCTCCGCACCACAAGCGACACTCTAATGATTATATATAAATTATTATATATTATATATATAATATATATATATATATATGTATATATATAGAGAGAGAGAGAGAGAGAGAGAAGAGAGAGAGAGAGAGAGAGGAGATATCCACGAGTACAGTTAGAATGCCTTTAAGTTTTAACCTAATTGTTTTAACCAGTGATAGAGCTGTGTTGTGTTGAGTTTAGGCTGGCTGCTGACGGTCATTGTGAAGAAACATAAACAGCAAGCAGCTGCTGCTGTGTGCATGATCTGATAGCGTGCACAAAAAATCAGATTAACATGAGGAGCGAGTACGACATACGTAATAACGTAACCACATGCCAACGTTACCGATGCCAACATGCACTCGTGAACATCATTACAGTGTTTCTATGAGAATATCGTCTATATTATCTATTATTTAAATTTAAATCGAATCTAATTAAATAGATTATATATTATTTATATTTCTATATAACATATATTTCATAGAACATATATATTCTATGAGGTAACCTACTCAAGAAATATCATCAACACAAGGAGAAAGTCTAATTATTTGTTAGAAAAAAACGGTTACACTTACAATGTTATATTATCGTGCCAGTTACTCACAGTCATCAACGATTTCCTGTTTCCAGTAGGAACGACTAACACCACAATTACGTTTGGTTGAACTTTGGATTTAAAAGTACTTTTGTGCATTTTTTTTCGTTTTCTAAATAGAAGACATTAAATATCATAAATGCTCATGGAAATTAGTATAAAGAACAGTGTCTATATTAAAGGAGAGCTAGTGGCGATGCGCCAAAAAATTGTCTGAAGGAAGGAACTATGTTATAAGATTTGAATACTGATGTAAAGTTTGTTTTAAAATATTTATGAATTTTTATAGCTCGGTGATAGCCATCTAATAAACATTTCGCGTAAACACCATTGAAAAAAACGTGAATAAAAAAAACAATTCAGTCATTAAACTGTAACAATTTTTTTGGGAACCAGTAACAGAGTTTGCTGACCCCACAGTCGTTGCTGCTCCGGCTTATCACCCGCCTATGAGTACTCTATAGTAATCCTAACAAATCATCTTATTGCAGCCGTACTCCCTTTAGAAAACGGATAATAGGCACAGACAAAATATCAAACTTCGATATGTGGCTTATAATGGATGGCCCTGACTGGTTTATAATGTAACAAGACAAACAACTCGCGGCGAGCATTAAGCTTTCACGGCCCGATCTGGTCAACATGACAACAATGCAACATATCTGGGCAATTTCATAGCCAAAGCAACACTGTTTCAGATAGGGCAGGACTCAGTGTGAGGTTCATATATGAGTTATTCCCTGCCCTTCAACTACTGGCGTTAGAGTGCTGTTATTGAA